TTTCAAATGGGATCAAAAATTCTCTTATTGGGATTACTGAGAATCTCCTGAGGTTCACCGTTCAGCCAAAGATTAGACAGGCCCATAAAAGAAAATGAGACTAAATGGGCACAACCAGCCCAGGGGCAAGGACGAGAAGGCAGAAGGGGACAGGAAAGCTGGTAATGGGGAACTCAAGGTTGAGAAGGGAGAGTGTTGACATGTTGTGGGGGTGGCAACCAATGTCATGGAACTCAAGGTTGAGAAGGGAGTGTTGACATGTTGTGGGGGTGGCAACCAATGTCATAAAGCAATGTGTATTAATTGCTTAATGAGAAACTAATTTGCTCTGTACACCTTCATCTAAAGCACAATTGAAAAAAAAAAAAGAAAAAAAAAATAAAACACGCCAAACTAAACAACAACAACAAAAATTATCTCATTGGATTATAGTAATCTAAATTACCACCAAGGGTGTGAGTGGCTGAAACAAAGGGAGGTAAAGTTATGAGAACTGGGAAGGTCAAGGAACTGAAGACAAGATGTTGCATGGGTTGGCCTCATAGGTATTAAATACCCAGGATGAAGGCAGTACTTGGTGGGGGTGGAGAAGACACCCATGAACCGTTTGCTAAAGTCTCCAGTGGAGGGGATGACAAGATGTTAGTAGGTGACAGCAGTGGGGAACAGAATAAAGTTATATACCAGTTAACAGGAGCCTCAAAAGAGTGGCAAATTTTATTTAAAAAATGAAGGAAGCTATATGGAAGTTGTACTGGGGAAAAAGCAGCACGCAGACCCCATTTGCTAATAAGAAGCTAAGTGGGTTGCAGTAGTGTGGATATGATCATCACCATACAAACTGAGAGTAGCCTTCCCAGTCCAATGTTACGTAACCATGAGATGCTTCCCCAATGAAAATTAGACTCCATTTCTAACTCCTAATAATCTCCATCGCCATCAAGTCAATTCTGACTCATAGCAACCCTATAGGACAGAGTAGAACTACCCCATAGGGTTTCCAAGGAGTGGCTGGTAGATTCGAACTGCTGACTTTTTGGTTAGCAGCCAAACTCTTACCACTGTGCCACCAGGGCTCCATATTAGTAATATACACATTCCTTAACAGCTCTTCAGACCACTATCCCTTTACTTGAGCCACTCACTTTTCATCTGTGAGATAAACTGTAACATAAAACTGAAACTTCAGATAGATCAGGTTTTATAATTTTTTCCTAATTGACATATCTTATTCATATATTTAGATGTCTCAGACATTGACCAGAATAATTACCTCTGTAGTAATTATCACTCAAGTGTATTTGGTAGAAGACTTAGTGTTAAATATTTTAAAACCATATCTAGAAAATCACATCGACCTAATGCATTTTATTGGGCAACATAAAATATACATGGATATTATAAAAGAATAAAATCTAACATAAAAATGTGAAGCCAGCTTGCCAAGTCTGGAATGAATACTGCAGAGGGTAGGCCAAACTACCAAATGGCATTTTAACAAGAAGAGAAACGGCCCTTATTAAAGGATTTTCAACTTGTCCAAGTGACGGTTAATGTATAGATGGACCATTGTATGGGCAGAATTTATTTTTCTTATCCCATGTACACTTTCCAGTAGAGATCCTCAAGGATATATTCAAATAATTTTAATATTTTTGTATGTATCAAGGATTATTTTATATACACTAGAGTCACACAATAGAAATATTATATAAACATACATTTGGATAAATGGAATGCAATTTCATGTAATAAAGAGAAAGCACAGTACTAACCACTATGGACCATTTTTAGACTCTTATATGACTCCAGAAATAGAATAATAAGTCAAAAACAGAAAATAAGAACACATTTTATGTTTTTAAAGTGATAATGTTCAAAATATCTTTGACTATTGCAGAAAAGAGTTGGCAAAGATATTGACTATATCATGGACTGCCAGAAGAATGAACAAATCAGGCTTAGAAGAAACACAACCAGAATGCAAGCATGGTGATATTCTGTCTTGCTTACTTTGGACATCTCATCAG